CAGGCTTTGGTGGTTGTGGGGCCTACCTTGATCAACAAAAAAAATGGATGTCATTTGAAAGCTTAGACTCTGATTAACTTTGACGTCTGATTAGACTTCGATTAACTCCAAAGTATTGCCGAGTTATTTGCTGATAAATGACAAAAAAAAAAATCAATTTACAAAATGTTTTTTTGTGTCATGTACTCTAATATGTCAAAAGCATCATACAGCTCAGATAGTCATGTGTCATGTCATTTGAAAGGTTTCATCGAGTAGAATAAAACAAGTATAATTGTTTGGGGCTTTGAGTAAACGTTAGTGAGGCATTACTTCAAATTCAAAACAATTTCAAAACTGTTAAAAGGCTAAGAGAAGGGCTACCTTTGGTTCCAAATGCTGTAACTTTTGAGTACTTCATGATACAACCACAAAATTTAATTCACATGCAGCACACATGAAAGAACATCACCAAAAAATAATTTTCCTCCTACCTTATTTCTGTCCTGATATTGATACAGTCTTTGAGTTAGGAGTCATTATTTTTGTGTATGTCACTCAGAAAAAAAAATCAACTTCAGTGAGGCAAAAATACCCTCAGGGCTTAAAGGGTTAAGGACGTAGCACTATCTGATCACTTCTGTATTTTCTTTGACATATTGATCTCTGTTACCACTGAATCTAGATCGGTCTCAGTCAGAAAGAGATGCATTAACGAAAACACTAGTGTGCTATTTATGGAGGCTATATCTTTAACACCAAGCATTTCTGCAGACTCTGTTGATCTTCTCCTTGATTCCTTTAACTCAAAAGTTAAGAATGTTATTGATGACATTGCTCCTTTGAAAGTCAGCAGGAAGACTGGCAGACAGAAATCAGCTTGGAGAAAATCAACAGCAGTTCAGAGTATGAAAAGACAATGCAGAAAAGCTGAGCGGATGTGGCAGAAGACGAAACTTGAAATTCACTATAGCATATATAAAGACAGCCTTCGTACTTTCAATGTGGAACTAGGCAAAGCTAGACAGTCATTCTTCTCAAACCTTATAAACAGTAACTTAAACAACACTCGCACTCTTTTTGCTACTGTTGAGAGACTGACAAACCCCCCAAATCAGATTGCCAGTGAAATGCTCTCCGACAGCAAATGCAATGAGTTTGCTTCCTTCTTTTCTGAGAAGATCAATAATATCAGGAAGGCGATTAGCACATCCCCAAGTTATGCAGAGGTTAGACATATTCGACCACAATATCAAAAAGAAGATACTATGTCTGCTTTTGAAGAAATTGATAGCAAAATTTTGGAAGAAATAGTACAGCACCTTAAATCATCAACATGCTATCTTGACACACTTCCCACATATTTTTTCAAAAGGGTGCTTAACTGTTTGGAAGCAGATCTCTTAGAAGTGGTGAACGCCTCACTTCTTTCTGGGACTTTTCCAAACTCCCTGAAAACTGCAGTTGTTAAACCCCTTCTGAAAAAGAGAAATCTTGATAACACCATATTGAGCAACTATAGACCAATATCAAATCTTCCTTTTATAGGAAAGATTATTGAAAAGGTAGTCTTTAATCAGCTGAACAAATACTTAAACTCAAATGGATACCTGGACAATTTTCAATCTGGTTTTCGACCGCATCACAGCACAGAGACAGCACTCATTAAGATAATAAATGATATTCGCTTAAATTCTGAATCTGGCAAAATATCAGTGCTGGTACTACTAGATCTCAGTGCTGCGTTTGATACTGTCGATCATAACATACTACTAGAGAGACTGGAAAACTTGGTTGGGCTTTCTGGCATGGTAATTAAATGGTTCAGGTCATACTTAGAAGGGAGAGGTTATTATGTGAGTATAGGAGAGCATAAGTCTAAGTGGACGTCCATGACATGCGGAGTCCCACAAGGCTCAATTCTTGCACCGCTCTTGTTTAGCCTGTATATGCTCCCACTAAGTCAAATAATGAGAAAGAACCAAATCGCCTATCACAGCTATGCAGATGATACCCAGATTTACCTAGCCTTATCTCCAAATGACTACAGCCCCATTGACTCCCTCTGCCAATGCATTGATGAAATTAACAGTTGGATGTGCGAGAACTTTCTTCAGTTAAACAAAGAAAAAACCGAAGTCATTGCATTTGGAAACAAAGATGAAGTTCTCAAGGTGAATGCATACCTTGACTCTAGGGGTCTAACAACTAAAAATCAAGTCAGGAATCTTGGTGTGATTCTGGAGACAGACCTTAGTTTCAGTAGTCATGTCAAAGCTGTAACTAAATCAGCATACTATCATCTCAAAAACATTGCAAGAATTAGAGGTTTTGTTTCCAGTCAAGACTTGGAGAAACTTGTTCATGCCTTTATCACCAGCAGGGTGGACTATTGTAATGGTCTCCTCACCGGCCTTCCCAAGAAGACCATTAGACAGCTGCAGCTCATCCAGAACGCTGCTGCCAGAATTCTGACTAGAACCAGAAAATCTGAGCATATCACACCAGTCCTCAGGTCCTTACACTGGCTTCCAGTTATATTTAGGATTGATTTTAAAGTACTTTTACTCGTTTATAAATCACTCAATGGCCTAGGACCTAAATATATAGCAGATATGCTCACTGAATATAAACCTAACAGACCACTCAGATCATTAGGATCGAGTCAGTTAGAAATACAGAGGGTTCACACAAAACAAGGGGAATGTGCTTTTAGTTATTATGCCACCCGCAGTTGGAATCAGCTTCCAGAAGAGATCAGATGTGCTAAAACATTAGTCACATTTAAATGCAGACTCAAAACTCATCTGTTTAGCTGTGCATTTATTGAATGAGCACTGTGCGATGTCCGAACTGATTGCACTATATTATATGTATAATCGTTTTCTTAAATTCATTTTAAATCTCTTAAATCAATTTTTTTTTAAATAATTTTCAAAGTTTTTAAATTCCTCGTTTTATTGTTGTGATTATTGTTTTTATTTTATTTTATGTAAAGCACTTTGAATTACCATTGTGTATGAAATGTGCTATACAAATAAACTTGCCTTGCCTTGCCTAGTGGTTTAAAAAATATGATTAGTAATATTTTCGTGGAGGGGGGCGTCCCGCCCGCGGTACACTTCGGTTTAGAGGGACTCAGCGCTCATTAAGAGTTGATCAAAATACGTTCATTAAAAAGCTGAGATTCTAAGCTTTAAAATTATACCTATTTTGTGTTATTCCATTCAGGAGTTGCTTAGTAATTTGATTATGAATTTTTTTTTTCATTTTGACAAAAATTACTTGAAGTATATGTGTGTTCATTCAAAAAGGTTTTCCTATGAAGTAATTGGAGAAGAGTCCATTTTTCATGCCATTAGGTCGTAAAGGATTCTGATCTGGCTGAGGGGTCCTGGTTGTCATGGTAACCAGGGGCCTGGTGTCATTCCCAGACATGCTGGCACCCAGTACGTTTACTGGGTGAGGGGTCTGTGATTATTTGTTAAAGACCCTAAGCAGGGGAGCAGTCACTGAGCTAGCACAAAGATATCCTCAGATAGCTATGTACCTAGGAAGTGTCACAGAACGGTGTTGAGAGTACACACACGAAGATGAAGAGTAAACAGTTCTTTAATTAATCCACAAAAGGTAATCCAACACGGAGGTAGGTAGGAACACACGTACACAATAGACGAGAACTGACGACACTAAAGGAGAACTGAGGACTTCAGTAACAGACACAAATGAGGATAACTGAGACAACAGGTGGGATGAATGAACTAATCAGAACACAGGCAAAACTAGGTCACAGTGAAGAAAGCAAAACACAACGGAGACACAGAACAGACTGACACGTTACATGAAAAGGGCTACCAGAAGGGGGACTGACTGAAACTACCCAGACCACAGAGAGTGAGCTGTCAACTTACAACACAAAGAGGGGAGATAGCACCGTCAAGGTAAAGGCTCAAGGAGATATGAAGTTCCAAACGTAGGTTCGGGAGGAGCCTAATCATTCAGTCCTGTCGATCATCATTACGAGCCTATATAAGCAGCACTCATTACACCGTCTCGGCGTCAATTCTACCGGAATCCTTCCCCCTCCCCTTCTCCTCCTCTCATTCTGTTATTCTCCCTCTATGTAGTACCACAATTGGGGGGTTGAACTCAGAGCTCAAGTCGAGGACAGCAAGCCAAGTTTGTTTACCTTTAACCATCAGGACTGGATGGGCAGGCGAACTTGTGAACAGACATAGGCAAAATGCACAGGTTGTCAGGATTGCGCTACCTACAGCGTGTAATGCGTGGTTTGCGAGTGTAAGTGGGGATTTGAAAACACATAGTAAATATATGTCATAAAAGCTGAAACAGAAGTGAAAGAGGGAAGAGGAAAGAGGACGAATAAAAAGTGATACTTATGTGTCATTGCTCGGTGGAGTTGCACAGATAGAGTCGCTGGTCTTTACACTCTTCGGTCTTCACATGAGGGCTGCCATGGTATACTAACCTTTTTTATAACCGTGTGACAAACTGTAATTGAATTCAGCTGAATACAATTTACTGTTTATCACAACAAAGGGCCAAGCAAATTCATAAAACTGACAAGGTACACAATACAGCATGAGACCAAACGCGACTTCAACACAGTAAACAAAACAAGAATTAAAATAGAAAAATATTTGTAAAAATATTAATTTAATACAGCTCTACTGTAGTCACAATAAATGTATTTTATTAAATGTTGATTAATGTCATACTTTGTAATGTCCATAAACTCTAATGAAACTCATCTCAGATCGATTTTAGTCATGACATAGAGCATTCAGACATTTCACATATTCATCATCAATTAAATTCTGATCTCAAGTTAATTTGTCATTGTATTTTATTATTTCTGCACAAACAATAGAGAAAAATCAAATACATTTGTAATAAAGATAAGAATTACATGTTTTCAATGAATTATGTTTGTGAAAGGTACTTTTCAAATGAATGGTAATTTTGATAGAAATCATACAAATGATTGATGTGACACGAAAAAAAAACAAATGTAGATTTAGAAAAGCATAGATACACATTGTCACTCAGCAGGAATCTCTCTCACTCTCACACACACAGCTCTTACTTTCTATATGAGGATTTATTACACACATTTATTCTGACATGTTATTTCAGTGGCAGAAGTTCAGCTGCAGTATTCATGTCATGAAGAGAAAAGAATAGACTATAACATCTCACTGTTACTGATTTATCATGCGGCTCAAAGCATTATGGGTAGAATCTCTTGTCAATCTATTCTCATTCATCAACACAGTTTCACTGATGATTCAGGATCAACTCTAAATCCAGGATAGAGCGGCTGAGTGAATGTGGTCTGGACTGTGTGGATGAGACTTGTTGTGTCAGAGACGCTGTAGAAGGATAGAGTTCCTGCACTGTGATCCACATACACTCCTATTCTACTGTTACTCACATACACTCCTAGTTTACCATTATCATACACTTCTGTTCTAAAGATATCATCAAACACTCCTTTTATACTGCTTTTGGGCTTCACAGGGAGATCAGTCTCTATGTCATTGTGCATGAATGTGTATCTGGCGGGAGAGCAGTACAAACTCCAGGACTGATCATTATATCCAAACAAACACCCTTTACCCTGTCCCTTCCTGCTGATGCTCTTATATGACACTGATATAAACACACGTCCACTCCACTCAATCTCCCAGTAACATCGTCCAATCACACTCTCTCTACACAACACCTGCTTCCAAACATCAAATCTCTCTGGATGATCAGGATACGGCTGTTTCTCTCTCACACATGTCACCTTTCTGTTCTCAGACAGGAGGAGTTCAGTGTTTGCTGTGTTTGGATCCAGTGTGAGAAAACGGGCATCTGAACACAAGAACAGAGACATTTATAACAACAACAATCACTACAGCTGTGTGTAAGTGTGAGTGTGTGTGTGTGTGTGTGTGTGTGTGTGTGTGTGTGTGTGAGTGAGTCTGTTTGTAGACGTACATTTCTTTAGTCCTGCTGTAATCCTGGATTCTCCTCCATGATCCACACTATAAAACACACAGAGTCACATTAAGTCTGTAAACAAAAGTTTTAGTTTAGAAATTTTAAAAGATAGAATTTTCGACAGATAGATTTAAAAAATATTAGAAAGGAAGCTTAAATGAGTGGTTGTTAGGGTGATGCTATGTGGTTGCTAGGCGTGGATGCTATGTGGTTGATGAGTGTTCTAATTGGTTGCTAGGGTGTTGCTATACAGTTGCTTAGGCACATCGGGTGGTTGGTAGGGTCTTGCTATGCATTATAATCACATTTTAACACATTGCTAGCATGTTTTAGAATGATTTAGCATGTCTTAGGCTAGTTGCTAGGCTTTGCTAGTGATGACTGATAGATAGAAAGAGAGATAAAATGTAAACGTAAATGAGTCTATATGGCTTAGAAATAATAGTTAATGTGATGATGTATAACTTCCTGCTTAAAATGCAATCAATAACTCATTTTTAATTGTATTTATTTTCTGAATTTAATGGGGAATTGTGTCAAAATTTTCTCCAAAATTAATACAAATGTATTAATTTAATTATAAATTTATATAATTAAATTTATAATTAAATTGCCCCCCCCCCCCAAAAAAAAAGGAAGATATGATCTTTTTTCATAGTATAATATATAAACCTAGGACATATCTCAAGAGCAAGAGATCTGTTTTCACGAATATGAGCACAATTGTAAAACATGATATCGATTTTATACAAACACTCAACAAACAAGTGAATATTAGGTGAATTACATTTTAGACACAATTTTAATTTTATTTATTTTGCTATTTCAGTAATGAAACTAGTTCCAAAAAAATCCATAGCAAAACTGTTGTGTGTTTCCAAGCAACACGGTGATTCGTTACTGAAGGAGTCAGCTGCTTTGAATGAATCGGTTGAATAAATGATTCTGTAACTCAATCATTTGCCACCACCTAGCCTACTGGCGGCTTTAGTTTGATATTCATATTCATTTTATTTTTCCATCATATTTTTATATTCAAAATATTATTTTTAAAACAATCTCAACAAAATGTATGCAGATGTAATTGTCAGTTCAGATGCAGCTTCTGTGCCACCTCTGATTTGATAGGTAACAACTTTATATATAGTGTCTTATTAATCCAATTGTATTTATTGATTAAATATTTGGTATTTTTCAGGCAGTAAATGTGGATCTTTCAGATGAATTTCAGGAGTGCTGGTTTGTTCTTGGTCTTGACTCTGTCCCGGCCTGCCTTGGTCTCAGTCTTGTCTTGGTCTCAACGCACTCTGGTCTTGGTTTCGACTTGGTCTTGGTTTAGGTGGTCTTAACTACAACATTAGATTAAATTAGTCTAAATGGCTTAGAAACATTACATAGAAGGGAAGCTTGATTGAGTCTCTAGGAATTCTTGGAGTTTAAAATTGAATTTTGTCTGTTTGAATAGTCTTGGCTCATTTGAATAATCTGTCTAAATAATACACGCTGCCTATTTAACATCATAAATATCTGTAAAACCCAAAATACCACACTAATTGTATCACTAGACGCTGAGAAAGCTTTTGATTAAGTAAACTGGCATTTTCCCTTTACACTATTTCAAAAATTTTGAATCGGAGAACCATTCATTCAGTTGATCAAAACATTATATAGCACCCCAAAAGCCTCTGTGATTACTAATGACATTATTCCAATATTTCAATTACAACGTGGGACTAGACAAGTGTGCCCACTTTCTCCATTACTCTTTGCAAGACTTAAACATAAATACAGACAGCAATTTCTGAAGACAAGTTTGCATTAACACATTCAGTACAAAAAAAGTGAAAGTGATGTGTACGTAGCCAAGTATGGTGTCCTATACTTGGAATTTTTTGCTCTGCATTTATCCCAACCAAGTGCACACACACAGCAGCGAGTAATGAACACACACACCCAGAACAGTGGGCAGCCATTTTTGCTGCAGTGCCCAGGTAGCAGTTGCGGGTTCGGTGTGTTGCTCAAGGGTCTCACCTGAAAGAAAGCACTGGTCATTCACTCTCCCCACCTACAATCCCTGCTGGTACCAAGACTCAAACCCACAGCCTTTGGGTTACAAGTCCGACTCTCTAACCATTAGGCCACGACTACCCCAGTACAAGTAGAAACACCAAAATACAACTAACCCCGCCCCACTCGTCACATACCCCCATCGCCCCTCGCAGGCCGGGGAGTACTCCCGAGACTGCGCTCTAATCCCCCCGCCGATCATGGCGGCCGCGCCGTAACTGGGGGTAAAGACAGACAAGGCGAGAGAAAAGGAGACGGAAGGATGAGGAGGGACAGAGGGGAGAGAGGAAAAAATAAATAAAAAATTCTCGGTCCGGTTCCCGGACACACTGCCGCTTGGTCCTCAACCAGCTGAGAGGCTCTCACTCGCGGTGCCATGCGATGGTACTGGACATCTTTGGTGGACGGCCCAGCGCTCCTCCGCGTCCTAGTGGATGGCGATGGCAGCCGGCAGCAAGTCCCCTGTTCCCTGCTCCTCCCCAAACATGGCGGACGGCAGCAGGCTCCGGCCTCTTGGCGAACGGCGCCGACTCCTCCGCTCCCTCTCGGACCGCAACCACCCCTCCTCGACCCAGGAGCACAGCAGCAAGCCCTCCATCCCACCTCGTCTTCCAACGTTCCGTCTTCCATTCCAGCCACTGGCAGTCTCCGCTTTTTCCTGCCCGATCTCCTCAGCACCGCGATCCCCCTCAGCAGCGAAGGCTCTCTGACAGCATGTCCCTCCTTGCTCCCGGATTTCGGCACCAATGTAACAAAGTTTGTAGATCGGGGAAGGAGGAGGCAGGAACCGGCGAACATTTAAAATACAGAGTTCTGGCATGAAACTCTAGATGGCGCAGTTTGATAGGTCTAACTCAATCTGACCTAATGACATCATTATCACATGACACAGCTGATTGGTTCTCTCCTGTATCTGTAGCCAGTGAGCTCGCTGCTCAACATTCAAATATATGACTAGTGTTGCTGTAGCAGTTGCAGCTTGCTTCAGAACAGCGAAATCAACATCTAAGATAAGTGAATGCTCTTCTAATCCATATCGCTGTGTGTATTGTGTGGTCTGTCTAATTGAATTCAAAAAATGAGCAACCATAATCAAGTTTAAACTAAGTGTCATGTTAGCAGTTTGCATTGTATGCAGGAGTTAAATATTAAGCATATTAGCAGCAGCATTTAACATCTGTGTTTATACAGCTGGAGCAAACGCAGTTAGAGCATATGTAATCACGCTCAGGACACGCCGATAGTAATTCGGATTGCAACGTATATCCATTTTGTTAATTAAACACAACACATAGTGCACGTCTAATTAGAGTAAAGCCAGTCAGCGTGGTAGCTCAGGCTCATATAGTCATAAGCCACTCTTGTTAAACCAGTCGGCAAGGTAGCCAAAGGCTCACATAGCCATAAGCCACTATTGTTAAGCCGGTCGGCGTGGTAGCCAAGGCTCACATAGTCCTAGGCCGCTAGTGTTAAGCAAGTTGGCGTGGTAGCCAAGGCTCACATAGTCATAGGCCACTAGCGTTAAGCCAGTCAGTGTGGTAGCCCAGGCACACATAGATAGTAATACACATGGCTCTTCAGAGCAGCAGGAATACATATGTGTTGGCGATAGAAATGCTTGTTGGGGGGTGTTTTGTTCTTGTTTTGGCTTGTATTGTCCCTCTATGTCTCCTGCTTTGTGGGGGGTTATTTCATGTATGTTATATTTGCAGCAGCAATATTTCTTATATGCTTACAGCAGCATGTTGTGGATGTATTGGCAGTAGTAAATCTCTGTACTTGCTCTGACGCAGCAGCAGCGTAGCAGATCTATTCCGCCAAGACCAAATAGATTAACATTGTCATGTACATTACCATGCCAATCCCTCCGAGAGTTGTCATGACAGAACATAATTTAATAACAAAATAAACACAAAAGTGAAAATAGTTTTGACCTCACGGACGACTGCTGCGCACAAACAGAACCAAAACAACATAAATAGTTCAGGCCTGGTCCTCTCTCGTCCTTCACTGTCGTTACTCCTCCTTTTATCCTTCTGGAGCTCCTCCGTGGGACTCGAGACTGGTGAGACCTCATTATCATTCACTCCACTGGCCTCGCTCCGTTCCCACAGCTCTTGGCCCCACCCCACTCATCACAATATACAGTATATATATATATATATATATATATATACATACATATAGTCGTGGCCAAAAGTTTTGGCAGTGACATAAATTTTGTTTTTTGCAAAGTTTGCTGCTTCAGTATTTGTAGATAATTTTTTCCACATATGTCTATGGTATACTGAAAAACAATGATAAACATATCATATGGTTTAAAGGCTTTTATTGGCCATTATTGGCTAAATTATCAATATTTACAGTGTTGAGCCTTGTTCTTCATAACCTCTGCAATTCGCTCTGGCATGCTGGATATTAGCTTCTGGGCCAAATTCTGACTGATGGCGAACCATTCTTGCCTTATTATTTTCCTCGGAGTTGATCACAATTTGTGGGCTTCTGCTTGTCCACTCGCCTTTTGAGGACTGACCACAGGTTCTCTATGGGATTGAGATCCCGGGAGTTGCCTGGCCACGGATCAAAAATTTCAGTGTAATGATCTTCGAGCTACTTCTTTTATCACTCTTGCTTTGTGACATGGTGCTCCATCATGCTGGAAAATGCACGGATCATCACCAAATTGCTCATGGATCGTTGAAAGAAGTCACTCTTGCAGGAAGTTTTGATATCATTCTTTATTCATGGCAGTGTTTTTGGGCAGAATTATGAGAGAGCCCACTGCCTTGGTTAAAAAGCAACCCCAAACATTGATTGTCTCAGGATGCTTCACTGTTGGCACAACACAGGACTCATAGTAGCGTTCACCTTTTCTTCTCCGAACAATCGATTTTCCAGATGTCCTAAACAGTCGGAAAGGGAGCTTCATCAGAGAAAATAACTTTGCAACAGTCTTCTGCTGTCCAATACTTGTACT